AAAATTAAAAATTTCATTTTTTACAGTAATTTAAAAAAGAAAACCGATTTCTCGCATAAAAGAGTCGGTAAAAATGGCCAATAAAATTTTTTAAAACAATTTTTTAAAAATAGTTTTTTATTCATATAGAAGATAATTATGTATTTTCAAAGTATGTTAAGTTTTAAGTCAATCCGTTTATTAGTTTTTGAGTAATCGTGCACAAATTTAAAAAACATCGAGAAAAACGCGTTTAAAGTTTTCGGTACAAAAATATGTATAAGAAAAAAAGTTGAATAAAGAATTTTTTTGGGAACTTACGGCTTTAGGTCAGTCAATCGGCAATTTCTGGACCATATAACCCATAACCCATAAAACCCATAAAACCGTTACGGCTTACTGCGCGTCAAAGGGTACCTGAGCGGCAACTGCGTGCTCACATACTTGCTCGGAAAAAGGCTCGATCGGTAGATTTACCGTTCGAATTTCGAAAAACCAAATATAGCCCCGAAAAACCAAATATAATATTCTACAGATATTAGGGAGTATTTTAAGCAAAAAAAAACTTTTCTGACTAGGCTATCCCCTTAAGGTGTTGCTAGGTGGATGGAACGACTCAAAGGACGACAAGTATAGCAGATTGGTTGGTAGCCCGCGGTCGAATAAAAGAAATTTTGTCGGATATGTCATAAGAATTATCGAGCAGTACGGATTTGACGGTCTGGATCTTGATTGGGAGTTTCCGGTATGCTGGCAGGTAAACCGAAATATCTTCTCTCTTCTTTTCAGTATAATTATAACCATTCTTTCAACACATGAATTATTAAAGATACTTCGGAACATTCAAAGGAGACATTTTAGTTTTGATTTAGAGAAAAAGCTTAACAAAAAGAAATTATTTTTCAAATATACACAGTTCTTCTTTAGTAAAATTTGTTGTATATCAGTAGATCCCAATGCTAGGCTAGAGACACTAATTATGGAAATTAATTAAAAAACAAATATCTCGGACAGGGCGATTGTAGCCGCGGTCCTCAGCAGGACAGCAAAAACTTCATAGGACTTCTCGAAGATATCAGCGAGGCGTTCACATCTCAAGGACTCCTGTTATCCATCGCGGTCTCGCCGTCGACCGGGACTACACCTGCATCCCGCTATTAACGCGGCAAGTGGATTGGATCGCCGTTTCGTATGATATGTACTATGTTTTCATGACTTTCAGATAATAATGGAACAGACACTTTGTTATGCTTTGTCGAGAGGGATGAATGGAATGCGGAGCCGCCTTTGGAACCTCTAACAAAAATGAAGCTGCCAGTATTATATGTAATTATTAATCACACTGTGACAGCATTCTGTACCACGCTATCAGAGTGTGCATTCCAAGTGAGATTTGTTCAGTATACGCATTTCAAAGATTACAATTTTTCGGATATCGGCTATAATTTTCTCGTCGGAGGTGACGGCTTCGCATATGTTGGCAGGAGCTGGAACTACGTCGGTGCCCATGCCCGCGGTTATAATAGCAAAAGTATCGACATTTCTTTCATCGGTGGATTCAATTTGACTGCCGAAACTGTAATTACGTGCCGCGCGAAAGATCATAGAGCTCGGCGTCAAAGCCGGAAAGATCGCGCCCGACTATAAACTGTTAGGTCACCGACAAGTTTCGAAAACTCTGAGTACTGGAGATGCCTTATATAACGAAATTAAAAAGTGGTCCCATTGGTCACCCAAGCTTTGACCCAATAACTTAAAAGTTTAACTTATGAATGAAATACAATGTCTGAAAATATTCACATCCTGTTTTCCTTTAAATCTGTAATTGCCGCACTGCAAATCCAAGTGTATTAGTTTTATACGCATAAACGTCTAAAAATAAACATTTGACTGCAGTTTTTTTTACACATTTTTGGGCGTTTTAAGTTACGTCATTTAACACCTTTAACCGTATTAAATTAAAAGTTAATACGTTCAATTGTGTCAAATGTTTAACGTGATTTAAAACGGCAAGAAATGTGTCAGAAGAGTTTTAGCTAAATAACACATTTGCATTTGCAGTGCATCTATATATCTATGTCAGTGAGATATAATTCCAACAAGTTCAGATTAACTCATTCAGTTTTTTTTGTTTCGGAGGAAGAGAGAAAGTGCCTCGTGCATTCTCCAGGGACCGGTCCCTGGGATATGTGGGGCTTGCACCCACCAAAAACTCTCTCCCCTAAACACAAGACGACGGACTACAATTGCGACACGCGGGACACACGAGGTACTACTACACGTGCCACAACGGCCCCACGCTCGAGGCGACAGACAACGCAAACCATAGAGACACACGGGAGGTCTAAATGGGGAATGCTTATCTCCAAGCAGAAGCAGGTTTTTTAGTCGAATAGTATGAAGAACGCCTCTACACGACTGCCTCGGAAAGCCCCATGATAGAGGCTGCGATTGCAGCCACATCATCGGGGAATTCTTCATTGGCTACGGAAACCGTTTCACCAGGAGAGTCCACATCCCCAGGAATTCGTACATGGTCATGTAGACGTGCACGAACATAACGAACAGAAATTTCTTACCCGGGTAGAGAGGTTCCACGCGAAACAAGACACGGGCTCGGCCAACGAAAAGTCAGACGAGCCCGTTAACATTTGGGGAAAAACAGCGACCCATCACCAATAAAAAGGATCCGACAACCATCGGATCCACAGACTCTGGTCAAGGCAGAAGGCTCTTGACGGGAGCATAACCGCGCCCCTCCCCTAGGCCCACCCCAAAAGAGAGAGCCCAGGGGGAGGGCGCGGGAACAAAACCACAGAGACCCACCAGGGGACGACCCACAGGGGTCCGCCGCTACAAAAAGCTTCCAGCACCCACTGTTTCCAGTAGGGCAGGAGCCCGAAACAGTAGCGAGCGGCAAGCCACGGCCGGCCAACCCCAGGAGGATCCCACAGCCAGAGGCAACCGTCCCCCTGATAGTCTAGGTAAAGGCAACCGCAATGCCGACACAAGAGGGAAACGGAGTCCCCGACGACCCCCAGAGGAGTGGCAGGTGCCGACCGCCCCCAGGCCATCAACCCCACAGGGATCCGGGAACGTCGCCAAGCGTATCCCAGAGTCGGCGCAAAGCGGTGGCGGGCACTCCAGGCACGCACACAGCGACGCACCGGACTCCAAGGGAGGCAAGCCCGCGGCCGACCGGCGCCCAACCACCCCCGAAGGGTGCTCTAGGGAATCCCCGACAGTCCCGCTAATTCACCGTAAAGGTGACGCACGCCACAATTTAATAATCCTAATTTAAATACTAATTTGCAAATACAAAATAAAGAACAAAGTCACAAAGGATATTGTCACACATCGTCCTCATCCGCAGCTCCATCGGGGACATCCAGCTGTCTCCTGCGCTCGTCCTCCTCCTTCTTTGACATAATTCGCTCCGCGAAAGTCGCAAACGCCTTCCAGGCTTCCCTTCTATCACAAATCCCCTCCACGACCGCAACCAAGGTCAAGTCCTGACCCAGAACCGCGGTGAGTTCGCCTCTTTCGACACCCCAGAAAGGGCATACGGAAAGCGTATGTTCAGCCGAGTCCTCTGCGGCGCCGCAATATTTACACACCGGACTATCCTCCTTTCCAATTCTGTTAAGGAAGGTGGAAAAACATCTGTGACCCGTCAAAATCTGGGTCATCCTGTAGGTGAGGAATCCCGTGCGCCTATTCAGCCACGCATCAAAATGGGGAGCGATAGCGTCTCTCGTTCGTTTTCCGGGCAAACGTTGATCTCGGATGTGTTCAGCCCACTGCCTATGGAGCTCTAACCGCTCAACCGCACGCTCCTCTTTCGGGGAATCCTTTGTAAAAGTGCCCAGCTCTTTTAATTCGCAAAGGCGTAGATAGACTCGGCGGAGAAAAGCCGCGTGTAAATGCAGGGGTGGTATCCTTGCAAGCAGCGTCGCCGCCTCGTATGATACCGTGCGGTATGACATGATTGTTCTAGAGGCGACAACGCGTAATACTCGATGTAGGAGCCTTTGTTGCCTGTTAGACGCCTGCAGCTTCTCGCTCCAGATCGGGGCTGCGTATAGAATCACAGAGAGAACTCATTCAGTTAACTGAATATATCGCAGGTCTATTATTTTCGTTCCAAATATAAAATTTTCTTACACTCGAATACACTGAAATATATGACAAAAGAATTAGTCTCTGCTTTCGTAGCATCAATAAATTTAATTAGATCAAGCTAATTAGTGTACCAAGGAAGGGAATGTCATATATAAATATATATTGAGTGTAGAAAATATAAAAGGCATTGTACTGGTCGAACTTATTAATAAAATTGATTTGCTGTTAAGTAAATATTAAAATTGAAAATCACTATAGAAATATATAATATGCATGATACAGGATATATATGTATATAAGAAATGTTAAGTGATCCATTTTAAATCAACCACACACATTCACTAATGTGTCGAAACACTAGATTACACAGTTCAGTGGTTTGTGTAAAAAAATAAATGTGCCAATGTGATAATTACTTTCTATATTATTACTGTATATACTTTATTTTATAATATGCCGAATTTATCAGTCATGTTTTAATACATAATCTTGGAGAACATGTTGTTTATATAAAAAAATGTAACATTTAATTTGTACATTTAACGAGCCTATTACTTGTTAAATAAAGAAACATATACGTCCGTTAAATAAAAAAAAACATTCAATTCCTGTATATCTTTTTTTTACATTATTTTTACATCATTTCAAACATCATTTTGTACATCTCACATTGGCGCGGATTTACATGCAATAGGAAATTTAAAAAATTAGAAATGTAAAAGGAATTTCTCTTGCATTTTTAATTTAAATAAGAAAGAGAAATAAGAAAACTAATAATATTGTGATAAAAAAATAGGAGGTCCAAAAAAGAGATGCTGTAGAAGAAATGATGGAAAAAATGTTACAAAAAAAGTCCACATAGAAATTAAACCAAGTTCTGAACAAGAAGAGGAACAAATATGATTACAGAGAAACTGAAAGGTAAGGAATAGAAAAAAACAGTTATGGTTAAAAAGAAGATAAAGGAGAAAAATATTGACAGTGACCTAACTTGGAAGGTAAGACAGATACAAAGGGAAATATATAATAATTGAAAGAAAGTTTGCATGGAAAAAAGAGGGGGTTTAAAAGAACTAAATTTTTGAAGCAGGCAGAGCTGGCCCATAAATAAGCGAAAAGGAGGCTGTTAATGCGGCTGTTCCTACGGGCTATATGTTGGCGAAGCCTCTATAGTATTATTACGTAGATATAATATTTTCCATTTATTCAATAATACTATTATTTAATAAAATATTATATAAAATATTATATAAATTACTATATAAAATATTATATAAAATGTTATATAAAATACTATATAAAATACTATATCGAAGTAAAACATGTATTGACATGTCGGAATGTTAAATTTTATTAAATTTATATAATCTCATTGTATCCAAAAAGAATATGGTATATTATGGTTCACTTCTAGTAGATTTTTTCAAAATATGGAAAATTGTTTTAAAACATTGTCTTTCTAAATTTAATTTTAAGATATATATTTATACATATAACTAAATATATAAGTCTGTGTCTATATATAGAAAGATTTCTACAAAACTCTTAGCTCCAAATTTTCTTTTTATAATACATGGTCTCTAGTGGAGGCAACGTAGGCGAAAAACATGCGTTATTTGGAAAGTTGTTCTCGAAGAATGAATTCACTTGAAACCTTTTGGAAAGTGTTTTTCTACCCTTAAATGGAAAAGTTTACCTATTTATTTCATGTGTTCTTACCTGTTTTTGGAAAAAAACGAAAAAAACCGATTTTTTAAAGAAAAATGTAAAAAAGTGATTGTAATTAAAAAAATGTTAAATGTATAATTATGAAATTTATAGGTAATGTGTTTTCAAGGTTGCTGAATACAAATCTGAAGTAAAATTTTCAACATTATAAAATGGCGACTCAAAAGGGTGGTTAAAAAGCACAAAATTAAGCGTTTTTTTGTAAAAATCGTTACATTTGTCATATTTATTCGTATTTATTGATTTGCTCATCTTCATTCAATTCAATGGGTTCATCTTCATAAACATCTGGACATATCGGTACGTTTAAGCAGCCCTGATTCCAGCAATTTGTACAAAGTTCCGTGCATTAAAGTCCAACCCTTCTACAACCGCAAGCTTTTCCGCTTTGGAGACAGCATAGCATTTAATTTGTTTGCAGCGAGCACATGCTCACTCGCACGCTGCGGTTCTCCTCCGGGTTTCCCCTCTTTCTCCCTCCTAACCTCCCTCCTTTTCCCTCCCTTCCTTCCTCCCTCCCTTCCTCCCTCCCTTCCTCCCTCCCTCCCTTCCTTCTTCCCTTCCTCCCTCCCTCTCTCCCTCTTCGTTTGCTTCTGTTCTTGTCATAAATACGACATTTTTTACTAAATTGCGTGCAGCCACTAAAATAATAAGTTTAAAAAAATATTTTCGATACACAGTCTTTTAGTAAAGTTTAAGACCCAAGCTACAACATCCCATAAGTTATTTTCTCAAAAAAATTTTTTTCTATTACTTTTTCGACTTTGAAAATAAAGAAATTTTCATATTTTCTAGTTCGACATTTATTTTTATATACTTTTGTGAAAAATACACCTGCTTAATATTTTGTTTTTCAAATAAAACTTGTATCATCTTAAAGTACATATTTTCAGCTTTAAAAAACCCTATTATCAAATTTCAATATCTACTTCCTAAGCAATAATATCTGCAGTCAAACTGGTTGATCAATTTTGAAATAACAAAATTTCAAGAAAACTATCAACTTTGAGGTCCCAACTTTAAAAGAATAAATTTTTGTAATTTTTTTCACTTATTGCATGTTATCAGCACATATTTTAAGAATATAATGCTTTAGTTTAGAAGTGAGAATCTGCAAATTTAAATAAATGGCAATGATATTAGTAAAATAAGTCAAAAATTTCACATCGCCTCTCTTCAAATTCGATTTAAATATACTCAAAATGCTTTCTCAATTTTTCCAAACCACTTGAAAATTAGTAAATTATGTCTACTTTCGAATGCTTTTTGTAAAATTTGATTCTATCGACTCAATTAAAAGTTACAACTCTTTTTAAAAAGCGCGCGCGCGTCCGCGTACTCTGCAGGCGGCTTTACACGGGGCGGCATCGACGAACTTTGAAGCGTTAATTAATAAATTATTACTCCTACACATATTAATATTAAGAAAACTTTAGATATGTTTCTTTAGTAAAATTTTCTCCTCTTTCGATTGGCATGGTTTATTTTTTCATAAAATTAATGTTTTTTTAGTTATACTCAAAAAACCGATTTTTTCGGTCTTTTCTGTTAAATAAAACATATAGCACAGGGTTTACGTTGGTAAACTTTTGAGACATGTTTTCTGAAACCCAAAAGAACACTTTCCAAAAAAGTTTACTCTTCGAGGATAACTTTCCAAGTGTTTTCCTACGTTGCCTCCACTATGAGTGTCCCATAGTGCCCCGAATGCACTTAATATAGAAAAAGGTGAAACGTAATAAAAAACTTAAATGATACATGATTATCTGTAGTGTAGTAAGATGACAAAAGATGCTAGAAAGTTGCACCTAATTTTTAGTACGTGTATATTTTACTAAAAAAACAATATTAAAACATTTCTAAATGGTTAAAAAGAATTTTACGCATCACGAAAACCTTATTATGTCACGTGCATCTCGAGACTACGGACTTTGATGATTGCCACCTCGATACGAAGTATGGGCAACGAAATAATTGTCACATGATACTAATTGAATCAACTTAAACATTCTGGATTACTCTAAACAGTCAATGATCTATGGTACCCCGTGGCTCATGGTGCCCCGGTCTCCCCTACATCCCATCAGCAACAACCCCGACAACAACGACGATTGAATCAGATATTGACGATACCATCGAGATCGAAGCCAGTCCACTATCCGCGGCAGATTGCGGAGGACATTCATTCATATCGCACAAAAACGACTGCACCAAGTATTATATGTGCAATTTCGGCCAGATCTCGGAACAGTCCTGTCCACCTGGACTTTACAAAACCGATGCGATTGGCCGGAGAACACCAAGTGCAATACTACTCAACGTCAAGTACGTATCGCGATGAATAGACTTTGATCATTTTAATACAAACGTAAAGCGCTTTAAAAAAAACGCGAGATTTATTCTGTCGATTTCTTAGAGCAGCCTATCGCCGAGATTTAGATTCGCAAAGAATATAAAAGAAAAAAAGGTGGTTTGGTACTATACGAATTGAGCTTGGAGGCGGGCAAGTTTCGGCAGCTTGCCCGCCTCCAAGCCCGCACTCCCGAAAAAATCGACGAGCAGCTTTGCACACACATCGTATATGCCTTCGCTACGCTAGACGCGGAGACATTTCTCTTAAACATCGATGACTCCGTCGACGTCTATAAAAGTTTTCTCAACAAAGCGGCGGAAGTTAGAAGAAGAAACGGTTTTAAGGTGTTTTTCGGTCTAGGTGGATGGAACGACTCAAAGGACGACAAGTACAGCAAATTGGCTGGTAGCTCGTGGTCGAATAGAAGAAATTTTGTCGGATATGTCATAAGAATCATCGAGCAGTACGGATTCGACGGTCTGGATCTTGATTGGGAGTTTCCGGTATGCTGGCAGGTAAACCGAAATTTCTTTTCTCTTCTTCTCAGTATAATTATAACCATTCTTTCAACACATGAAATATTAAAAATACTTCGGAACATTCAAAGAAGACATTTTAGTTTCGATTTAGAGAAAAAGCTTAACAAGAAGAAATTATTTTTCAAATATACACGTAGTTCTTCTTTAGTAAAATTTGCTGTTTATCAGTAGATCCCAAATGCTAGGCTTAGGGACACTAATTATAGAAATTAATTAAAAACCAAATATCTCGGACAGGGCGATTGTAGCCGCAGTCCTCGGCAGGACAGCGAAAACTTCATAGGACTTCTCGAAGATCTCAGCGAGGCGTTCACATCTCGAGGACTCCTGTTATCCATCGCGGTCTCGGCGAGCAAGATCGTCGTCAACCGGGGCTACACCCGCCTCCCGCTATTAGTGCGGCACGTGGATTGGATCGCCGTTTCGTATGATATGTACTATATTTTCATGACTTTCAGATAATAATGGAACAGACACTTCGTTACGCTTTGTTTAGAGGGATGAATGGGATGCGGAGCCGCCTTTGGAACCTCTAACAAAAATGAGCCTGCCAGTATCATATGTAATTACACTGGTTTACAGCCAAAATGTACATTCAATGCCATTATTTTTTTCCTATGTATTTTGGCCCGCTAAACTCGAAAATCACATAGAGAAATTTTTTTATGGATTGGTTTTCGAGATATGAATTTTTAGATTTTTTTTTAATTGCTCATAACTCCGGTATTTATCCATAGATTTTCTTTATCAATAGCTTGTTTTCTTCGTAAAAGTACGACCTATACGTAAACAATAAGAAACTGGACATAATTTGACGTTTTCTATTTTTGCATGGCGATAAAGTGAATTTTCTATTTTTACAATAAAAATAAAAGTACGACCTATACGTAAACAATAAGAAACTGGACATAATTTGACGTTTTCTATTTTTGCATGGCGATAAAGTGAATTTTCTATTTTTACAATAAAAATAGAAAATTGTAAAAATAGAAAATTCACTTTATCGCCATGCAAAAATAGAAAACGTCAAATTATGTCCAGTTTCTTATTGTTTACGTATAGGTCGTACTTTTACGAAAAAAACAAGCTATTGATGAAGACAATCTATGGATAAACACCGGAGTTATATGAGCAATTAAAAAAAATCCAAAAATTCATATTTTGAAAACCAATCCATAAAGAATTTTTCTATGTAATTTTCGAGTTTAGCGGGCCAAAATACATAGGAAAAATATAGTGGCATTAAATGTACAGGAAAATTTGATATTTTGTAAACCAGTGTTATTAGTCACATTGTGACATCATTCTGTACCACGCTACCAGAGTATGCATTCCAAGTGAGAGTTGTTCAGTATACGCATTTCAAAGATTACAATTTTTCGGATATTGGCTATAATTTTTTCGTTGGAGGTGACGCATATGTTTGCAGAAATTGGGACTACGTCGGTGCCTATACCCACGGTTATAACAGCAGAAGTATCGGCATTTCCTTCATCGGTAATTTCAGTTCAGTTGTACCGCCAAAACTACCATTACGTGCCGCGTGAAAGATCATAGAGAAAGATCGGCGTTAAAGCCGGAAAGATGGCGTCCGATTATAAACTGTTAGGTCACCGACAAGTTGCGAAAACTGAGTTCTGAAGATGCCTTATATAACGAAATTAAAAAGTGGCCCCATTGGTCACCCAAGCCCTGACCATAACTTAAAAATTTAACTTATGAGTGAAATACAATGTCTGAAAATATTCACATCCTTTTTTCCTTTAAATCTGTAATTGCCGCACTGCAAATCCAAGTGTGTTAGTTTTATACGCATAAACGTCTAAGAATTACACATTTGACTGCAGTTTTTTTTACACACATTTGGACATTTTAAGTTACGTCATTTAACACCTTTAACTGTATTAAATTAAAAGTTAATACGTTCAATCGTGTCAAATAATTAATGTGATTTAAAACGGCAAGAAATGTGTCAGAAGAGTTTTAGCTAAATAACACATTTGCATTTGCAGTGCATCTATATATCTATGTCAGTGAGATATAATTCCAACAAGTTCAGATAACAATTAACTGAATATATCACAGGTCTATTATTTTCGTTTCAAATATAAAATCTTCTTACACTCGAATACAGTGAAATATATGACAAAAGAATTAGTCTCTGCTTTCGTAGCATCAATAAATTTAATTAGATCAAGTTAATTAGTGAATAAAGGAAATAAATGTCACATATAAATATATAATGAGTGTAGAAGATATAAAAGGCATTGTACTGGTCGAACTTTATAATAAAATTAATTTGCTGTTAAATAAATATTAATATTGAAAATCACTATAAAAATATACCGTGCATGATACAGGATATATATGTATATAAGAAATGTTAAGTGATCCATTTTAAATCAACCACACACATTCATTAATGTGTCGAAATACCAGATTACTCATTGTCAGTTCAGTGGTTTGTGTAAAGAAATAAAGGTGCCAATGTGACAATTACTTTCTATATTATTACTGTATATACTTTATTTTATAATATGCCGAATTTATTAGTCATGTTTTAATACATAATCTTGGAGAATATGTTGTTTATATAAAAAAATGTAACATTTAATTTTGTTGTACATTTAACGTGCCTATTACTTGTTAAATAAAGAAACATATACCTACGTCCGTTAAATAAAAAAAAAAAACATATTCAATTCCTGTATATTTTTTTTTTTACTCGTCAAACATCATTTTGTACATCTCACATTGGCGCGTATTTACATGCAATAAAGAATTTAAAAAATTAAAAATGTAAGAGGAATTCCTCTTGCATTTTTAATTTAAATAAGAGAAAGAAATAAGAAAACTAATAATATTGTGATAAAAAAATGGGAGGTGCAAAAAAAAGATACTGTAGAAGAAATGGTGAAAGAAATGTTACAAAAAGAAGTCCACATAGAAATTAAAGCAAGTTCTGAACAAAAAGAGGAAAAAATATGATTACAGAGAAACTGAAAGGTAAGGAACAGAAAAAAACAGTTATGGTTAAAAAAAAGATCTTAAAGGAGAAAAATATTGACAGTGACCTAACTTGGAAGGTAAGACAGATACAAAGGAAAATATATAATAATTGAAAGAAAGTTTGCATGGAAAAAAGAAGGGGTTTAAAAGAACTAAATTTTTGAAGCAGGCAGAGTTCTGCTGGCCCATAAATAAGCGAAAAGGAGTTAATGCGGCTGTTCCTACGGGCTATATGTCGGCGATGCCTCTATAATACTCTATATTAGAGGAAAGTGCCCTATTATGACATGGTAGAAATACAAGGGTATGCTCATACCGTGTCAGACCACTGCGCATTCCCACCACTTTTGTCTAAGTTTACGTCATATTCGTGTAGCATCGGAATGAATCGGATGTACTCGGTGATTCGCAATGGCTGCGTTCGCTCGGTTCGCTGTTTATGTCGAGTAATTCGTTTGTGATTATTACAGTGTACGCAATGACGTGTAATGTGAAAGGGTGTGGGAACTATCTGGCAAAGACCAGAAAGATCGAAGGAAATAAAATAAAATATTTTTCCTTCCCAAAGGATCCAGCACTGTTTAATAAGTGGCGTCAAGCATGCGGAAAAGAAAATATTTCACCAAAATATGGTTTGTACTTTTGTATAGATTTCTCTTGTTTATTATTATAAGCATATATTTAAGAATCTTAAACCTTGTTTGCTTCAGCTAGGATATGTTCGAAGCATTTTGCTGATGAAGCTTTTACGAAGCCCTTACAAGAACATCTACTAGGTTATTCACCTATACGAACTAGGAAGATACATCCTGATGCTATCCCGACGTTGCATCTTCATGCAGTACCTCCACTAACATCAAACGAAAATGTGTTAGCTGAAACAATGCCTTTGCCTGTATCAAATGAAGTTTCGATGGATGTTGAACAGACACCAGCATCGTCCAGTATAGAAGAACAGACACCAGCATCGTCCAGTACAGAAGAACAGACAGCAGCATCGTCCAGTACAGAAGAACAGACACCAGCAAAATATAAAGCAAAATATATAGCCGGATACGTAGCATTTAGATTTAAAAGCACAGATAAAACATTAGGTATTGAAACGCGTCAATTGGAAACAACGGGTGACCAAGATTGGCTGCAAGTTATTTCGCGAGGAAAATGTATGTATCCGAGTGACAAATTATTACAATGTGCTCGTATAATGAATATTGAGTTTGCTAAATATCACGGATCCAGTTTGAATAAAGAAAATCTTATATTTCAAAACTTAGCAAAAATAATAGAACCACAATTGAAAATTAAAATACTGAGAGAGGCATTACTATGCCTCATTAGGACTAGGACATATATTAGGCTGCGCGAAATGAACCGAGCGATTGCAATCGCAAATCACAGGCAAAAAAGAAGAAAGATGTCAAAATTTACTAATAAAAAACCTGTATATTAAATATTTGCATTTATTGTTATTTGATCTTTTATCTGCATCTTTCCTCTGCATATATAGTTCTTTATGTCGTACGCCACAATATATTTTTGTTTTGCGTCTCAGCTGACAATTCTTTTCCAATCGTTTTCCGACCAGTTTTGATTAAAACTAATAATTCGCAGAATTTTAATAATAAATGACTGGAAATTAAAATCTCGTTTTATGTGAAATTTTTCCGTACGTCGCAATGATTTTTATTCAATGCACACAATTCTTTTTTTCTTAATAATAATAATATTTTCTGTAATATTATATATTTAGACAAATCCACATAAAATAATTATAAAATTCGTCAAATAACAATAACGTTTCTAACATCTACAACGAGAGACAAATTCGGGAAACGATGAGCGTTTATCCGTATGTCACGTGCGTTTTTTTATATTTATATATTTTTGTTCATATATATTTATTTATTTATAAAACAGAATTTTCTCTCACATAAATGATCAACATTATTTTGTATTCACATATTGTCCGCTCAAAATGCTTTTATAAATGACTATTATAGATTCGCTGCTTAAATGTGCCGCTCAGTGTGACGTAAGGTTGGACAAGTCGCTGATTGGCTGGGTTCGGAAATATGCGCAAGAGCATACCCTTGTATTTCTACCATGTATTATGAGACAGGATCAAGGACAGGATCCAAATATGAGATATGTTAAGCTAAAAGGCTCTATATAGGCCCTATCTGTTGATCCCACCATGAAAAAACCCCGCCATCTCATATTAGGATCCTATCTCATAATAGGGCACTTTCCTCTATTATTAGTGTATGCACAAGCTTTATCCAAGCCTGATCAAAATGAAATCTATATAGAGAAAGACGAACACACAACCTAATAACTCTCGACTCTCAGTTTTTTTATAGGAAAAAAGATATAATATTCATAAATGTCATAATAGTTTACATATGAGAAACAATTCACAATTCCAACATAACATGATTAGAAATAAAGAAGGTCGTCATCTTGGATATTGATATTTACTTAATAAATTTTATGCTTTTGAGTTTGGAATTTACAATTAAGAAGAATTAAAAGAATCATTTCAGAATATTTCTTT